GTTTTTTAGACCGGGGATATAGGGACTGTGATTAAGTATTGCATCAACAGCTGTTCGCAATATTGGATTCATTGGAGTAAATGCATACCTTTTTGATCAATGGTAATTATGAGTCTCATAACAGACAGAATTTACTTTAAGCAATCACGAACGGAAACTGGACTAAAATAAAACAAAATGGAGTTGTGGACACATTTTCTCCTGCGATGTCCCACAGAGGTCGGTCCTTTGTACAATTTTCATGGCAAGAACAACATTGGGTACAGGTGGAAACTTTGCCCATGGAAAATGGTTGACGAAATGTCACGCACTATTAACTATCTTGCAATAACAGCAAGCGCTACGAGTAAATGCAGAGGTTAAATTCACTGATTATTGTTTCAAACTCCGGATTAATATACTACTCTTTTGGATGCAAGTGGAACTAAAGTAATAAGAATGTATGTGTTGGTGATTAAATATATGTATTTAATTTGGAAATTTACCACTTGTTTCCGGTCAATGCACAGATCAAAAATGTAAAATGAATTAAAGAAAGCTGCAGTTAAATATTTTGTTGGTGAAGTTTCAGTGTTTCAGCAAAAAGACATGTTACTGTTTTCAAGTGATCTCTTTTTTGAGGTCACTCCATGTATGGATCTTTTATAATACATAACTTCTGGTGAGAAATTAACACTGTATACATGTTCTCGTACAATTATTTTCAAATTAATTAAATAAATTAGGAACATTCAGATATTCCATCTACACAAATTATGAACATTCAGATTTCCCATATGCACAAATTAAGGACATTCAGACATCCCATCTTCACAGCACTTATAACTTCAACGTTTTCAGAGGTCTCATTGTATTTTGTCTTTTCAGTCCATATGGAGCTCGTAAAATTGAAGATGCGTGAAGCTGCATTCCGACCATAGAAAAGAATGTCTACAACATGTGCATACGCTCCTAGGTACATGATTTTAGTTGCATCCAAAAACATCCTGGAACCTATACACGGAGTTAGCCGATATATTTAAGTTAGAGCCGAGATACCCCTAACAAATCATAGGATCTATACGTGGTAGTACCCGATAGATTTGAGTTATACGTTAGGGGTACCCAACAGAAACTAGCACCTATACGTATGAGGTACCGATGGATTTATGTTATACGCGAGAGGTACACAACAGATCCTGGGACCTATACGCAGGAGATACCGGACAACAATATAGAGATATGCAAATTAATATTTGATAGATAATCAAAAGATACGCAACAAAACCTATTTGCACGTCAAATACGTATAATACTCGATAAGTAGGCAAGAAACTATACCAAAGAAATACCCGGCGAGAGATACATAGCGTATATAGAACTATACCCGACCGATGGAAAATTTTCTTTGGTTTCCAAGCGTTTATTTTGTGAATAAATTATATATACTCCGAGTGTATAACCACTTCTCAGATGAGCTAAGATCTATCATTTACAGACTTCAAAATGCACAACTTACAAATCTTATAACGGTTATAAACGCTACTCGTCATCCAGACAAACTTGACACTGTCAGGCGTATTCTTCAGACATTAAACCCAACTTAAAAAGTGCTATACTCCTCCATCATATGACGATTTATATAGCGTGTTATGCATGCCAACTGGTTGTGCTGCTGGGTAAATTTTGCTGAATTTGAAAACTATTCATATTCACTCATTTACATTTTTATTGAATGTCCGCCGATTGGTACCTACTTCCGTTTCATTGCTTGCATTTCTATTGACCCTTTACAACTTTGGTTTGACGGTATCTCCATTGTGGTTCGTTATTCATACATTACATCAATCACGGAAATTACTCTCTCAGTGTGAGAGTATTGTCTATTTTGTCATCTGTATTTTGTCATCAAAATTTTCTATCTAGATCTCCTGGTAGAATGAATAGGAAGGAAGTTATTTTGGGTGTCTCAATTCTTTAGTATAGTTGGACCGCAAATGGTGGTAATGGTTGTATCTATGTGTCTGCATCTCAAACATTTCTGTCGCTTGGATTTTTTTTTTGGGCGGGGGGGGGGGGGGTCATAACCAGTAAATAAAATCATTATACTATAACACTACATTGAACACTCACTCAGCATGACTTCATTCACATTGTGTCATTATATGAATAGCACGAATTATAAAATTGTCCAAATACCTACCCATAAGAACACTGGTGAAACTAGGATTTAAAAGAGCCATTCGTTGAAAAAACTTTGGTAAGAATAAAGCAAATCCTACTGGTCGATTAATCGAGAACCCACATATCGCCAATAAAAAGACGCCACTACTTAGGAGTCTTGCGTACACTCTCACATAGTCTGAAGTACGAAAAAAACAAAACAATCTGAATCATGAACAAATGTAGTTTAAACATTTCAGATTTGTTTGAGAATGTTAAATTTAATGATGATTACGTCATTCATTTTTTTAAATTACAATATTAGCTATATGAATACGTTTTAATACAGTTTTTCAAGATTGTTTTTTATTGCTTGATATTATGCGATTCCTAAATGAAAATGTAAAACGCCAGATTCTCACCTTTCAATGTCTTCAATAGTCCATTTTGTTGCACAGCACTATCAACTGTTTTCTTTGGTGGGCGTTTTTGTTTTGCTATTTTCGTTGGCGATGGAACCTCCATTGCTTTCGGAAAGAAAAACATTGGAATAGCGATGACCAGCATAGATATTGCACCAATGCAGCTAACCATCCACCACGCACCAACCCAACGCGGATCTTTCATTGATATATTGATAGTTGTCATGTCAACACGATAGAAATCAACGTAATACCGTAGACATATACCAGCAATGAAGAAGCCCAATGGAGGTCCCAATCCTAAGGAAGCCTCGTAAAACCCTGAATATGAAAATGTATATATTACCGGTGATATTACCTTCAGCATGATAGTTATATACACACTTAATATTAATATTTTGACGTAAAATTGTAATATAAGTCAACTACATGAGATAAAAAGTGATTTACATTTTCACCAAATGTGTGGTTTATTGGGGGTTGTTGAGATTCATCATGCACAGGGGATATCTTTACTAAATTTACAGTTTGTTGTGCTAAAGCGAGAAGCGAGTTCTCAGTTTGGTCGAAGGAACGCGCTAAAATAGGAAAAGATTATGGCCGGAAAATCGAAACTTGGTGACAGTGAGCGTAGAATGAATTCACCTAAATTAGGCGATTTACTATGTTAATTCTTCCTAACACTTGTTGCAAAGACAGTAATCATCTGAGTCACCGTTGAAGTCAGCTGTGAACCACGGGGAACACTGAATTCTGTGACACAAACTTATATCCATAACCTGAAGTCGTCGCGCTCGTGCAAACCACGATGATGTCAAGACAGTGTGAAAGTTCAAGGAATCACTGAGATTATACCGGATGGTAACGTTTGCCATGATATAAAACTACATGATACTCAAAGATAATTGGAAGTCCTGTGATAACCGTTCATTAACGAGCTAAAAATCACACTCTCTTCGGGTTATCTGCCCACTGCTTCGGTCTTCCTAGGTTAAATTGTTGTGCTGAGATAATGTCGGTGTCGGATATTGAGCGCGACAATCAATTTTGGATGCATGGCTTATTTTGCCACCGAAATTGTGTTCAACGGAAAATATGTCAACAACATGGTTGCAGGTTTCAACTGATTTAGTTTAATGTACATTAGCTTTCAGATTTATTGACTTGTGTTGAACATTGTGACGTCATCAAGACTAGTTGCCATATAAGTAGTAGGCAGTTGGCAGCTACCGAGTGCAAGTATAGTGTTGGCTAATATTTATTTTAATAAAGAATTTCATTATTTATGATACTGTGTGTGTTCGTACAGTCAGAGCTTGTTCCACACAATCTTTATCCATAGCCCTTGATTTGGATTGAGAGAACAATTCTCTTGGGCGTGTATGTGCTAGCACCCTTTAAAGCAGCGAGGGAAAATTATCCCCCCCCCCTACCAATCGGCCCGATACCCATTTGTGTTTGGTTGTCTTGGGACAGGGGAATGATGATGGGACACAAGGAATGAAAACCCTTGGTTTGGTAGGTGATCAAACTCGATCTTTCACATATTGAATGCCGATTCTTGACTTCAGTCAGTTGTTCCATGTGTTCAGACATAGAATTGAAATAATTCTTGTGGATCACACGTAATGTTTAAAGCTTACTATCACCCGTTAACTGGCGCTTCATACAGCAGAAGGCTGTGCAAATACTGATATTTTCTGTACACATGTATGAGTTTAAATTATATTGTAGCTATTTCATCAGTGTGACAGACATACAGGACATACAGCTTTTCGTCAGGGAATGGAAATTTCTCGTCCTTACATCGATCGAGGTTACAATTTCACGAATTTATGTACATTGTATACTAGTTCAGTCTGTGTGACTAATGTTTTTTTAGTTCAATTATTAAACTACAAAAAACAAATGTGTTGTGTTGTGACGATAGTGATTTATGAATAGTGCATGAGAATTTTTGTTTATTTTCCATTTATTTAATTTATTCTACTAGGTACTTACCAATATACAGCGGGGCGTTGTCACCAGCATTGTCGTCGATGTATGACAATATCAGAGTTTGTGTTGGTGCAAAACCAATTCCAAGCAGGGAATTCCCAACAAGGAATAAAATGTAAGCCAACTGACCGCCGGTTGCAACTTTCTTCCCGCCTTCGTCACACTGTGTCGCATTCCACATCCCCTGGTTTTCACCATCATTCACGCACAAGCCTTCTAGAACAGCTCCAAAACTAGTGTCATTTTTCACTTCATCGTATGCATATGGATCACTGATAAATTGTGGCACGGCCGATATAGAAACCCCCAGTGCAACAATCATGCCGCCAACTGCTATCCATTTAGGCCTCTGATCGGTCGGGCGACCAAAAAAGTAAGTCACAATCGGTAAAGCTACCAATGTTGCTGACATAGACACTGTTACAACACTTGCAAGTTGTGTGCTAGGTAACTCATATCTCACCTCGACTGTTGTCAATAGAGCTACAAACGCGATAGTTACCCACATTACATTGAGATTGAAAAGAAATCCACAAAACACGAAAAAACGAATGTCATTAAATGGATTCTTTGTTGTTGCCCGATGTTCGATAGCGTCGACAGATGACTCTTGCTTGTTCTCGAGAATATCCATATCCATATCTATATAGTTCTTCCCTGGCTATAACTATACCACTTGTATTCTTGGAATTCCAACCCTAACAAACAAATATCAAAAAATAATCATTGATTTTTATAACATATTTCTCATCCAGTCGGTTAGCACACCGTTAAAAAAGTTTTATTTTGGGAAAAAATCTAGAATGGACCAGATTGTGATAATGGTGCAAACACATTGTGGTCATCCAACAGCTCGAAATGGGGTACAGTATTGAATTCTCACCAGCGTATCTAATGAGAAAATATCAGTGATCACTATATGGGATGTAACATTTACCTAAATGTATATTACTATATTATATAATTTGAATACTCTTAAACTTTAATTATATCTCACCACTGTAAGTTATTCAAACTGAAATAACCGATACACTAATAATTATATCACGCTAAGCCATAGGGTTTCCATAGGGTTCGAAGGCCTAGGTAAATGTGAAGGTGATTTATTATGCAAATCTGATAGCATTAAATACATGCTAGAAGCAATCGCTCAAATGTTAGAATCTGAAATTTGTCAATGTCTTTTATCTAAGCCATCTCAGAACTGTCAAATCAACTGTTAATGACAAAAAAGGGTCATTTTACTTAACAACGTAAAATACCATATTTACTGCAATATCTATCATCATGTTTATTGTTGGTTGTATACAAGTCTCAACTGACGTCACGTAAAACTGACATTACGGCAAATTGACTTTAACCATTGCTGGCTGTAAAGATTGGTTGAACACATCGACGGAACTTATTGTCTGTGTATCTCCGAGAAGGCCAGTGTGTCAATACGTGGTTGAAACAGCCGTAGGACTTCGACGGACACTTCATTTATTTAATACATCAACTTACTATACAACTTCTGTAATTTTGTATTGCTTTGCCGTCATTCTATTGACGTGTTAGGCTGGTAGGACACTGGAAATTTGGCAATATTTAATGTTGGCAACGGCGTCAGTTTAAACGATTCACTCGTACATTGTTTACACTTGTGTAAGCCCCATGCTACTGTACGGGCTCTTACTCATTGAGAATTGGTTACAGCAATTCCAGTCACTGATTTGACGCTGAAGTAGTGCTAGATATAGATATCATTTTAGGTTACACACCTTGTTTTCACATTTACATAAGTTGTAACTAGAAATATAAACATCGGCTGCAGATCAGAGGAATGATTGATAGATATTGCTCACAATACTCTTTAAATTATGAATACAATAGCACACGTGCTACATCTGGTTCTGATTCTGCAGATTTATTTGCAAACTTTTTTGCAAATGTTTCCACTTACCATAATATTTCTAATTTCCCTGATCTTAATTACCCCTGTACTGACCAATAATCCCATTTCACACTCTCAGTTCATAGCATTAGAGAGGCTATTACTGCCCTTGATAATAATAAATCTGGGGGGTATGATGGTATTTCTACTCGTGTTATTAAGCCGTGTATTGACGTTATCTGTATACCCCTTTATATAATATTTCAAAAGTCTTTATATTTGGGTCATTTCCCTTCTCAGTTGAAATGTGCTAATATTGTTCCAATTTTTAAATTGGGCTGCTCACAATCTGTTGTTAACTATCGTCGAATTTCTTGGTTATCATCCTACCTAAGTCATAGGCAGCAGAGAGTAGTTTTAGATGGTCACGTGTCTAAACGGTTTCCTGCATTGTCTGGGCCTTTGTTATTTGTTATGTATATTAATGACATCACCCACCTTGATATCTCTGCCAATCTTAGTCTTTGCGCTGACGATACCAAGCTTTATAGGTCTATTACATCTCCAACATACAGTCATACTTTGCAAACTGATCTTAACAAGTTTGTGGAGTGGTGCGACATTTGGAAATTATCACTAAATTTAGAGAAGTGTAAATTTATTACCTTCACTCTTAAGAAAAAAAAATATTTCCAGCTATAAATATTCTATCAAAGGTATACCTAAGGTATAACTGTTTTTTATGTGAAGTGGTGGTTTTTATCATTCAACACTTTCCCATAATACGTCATCATTTAAGCTTATACGAGGTCTTGGACGGAGTCAGTGAATTGAACTAATTACGATATAAACTTTGTTCACAGACCTGACAGTATGTGTAGTCTTTTAATATAGGGAGCAATTAATCAAACAGATATGACGTGTTAAGTAATTCGTATGATTGTCTATATGCGAGTTGAATGAAGCCTTAAACTCCCCTGTAATTGGCTAAAGTTTGGAAAGTAAATAAAGAGAGTCTTGGCCACTCTGAGAGAGATATACACGAGATGAGGCGAGTTTGAGAGAATGCTCCACGAAGCGAGAGAGTCTTGGGGGACTTATCCCCGAGGCATTCTGTCTTGGAGAGTTCTCGACGGGCGACTAAGACTAGAAGTTGACACGTAATCTAGATCTGTGCGTGTCTTTGTTCGGTGAAAGGTTGCGAATGTAACGATCCCTGGTACCTGAGATGAAGGTTTAATAACACGAAAATTAACTCATCATAATGATATTTCTGCAATTATTTCTTTGTATCTTGTTTATGTCAGACATATTCTTGAATATGACAATTTAAATTTGTTAAATATTTATGTGGAAAGTTACGTGTGCATTGTAGTATTTCATGTCATCCTATTTATTGCAAACTTTTTAATATTACTTTTTTTTCTAATAGGAGAACTATTCTTGATCTTCTCTTTTTATATAAAATTGTTAATTCTTCTTATGACTGCCCTGTTATTCTTGCCAATATTTACTTTTATGTTCCAAATAGGAGTTTGAGACGCAAACCATTTTTTAAACCTGACTGTGGATCAGTCAACTGCAGGAAGCATTCGTCCCTTTTAAAGTGTATGACATTATTTAATGACATTTCATTTAAATGTAATATTGATATTTTTTCATCTTGATATAGTTTTAAATCTGTATTGTATAATTATTTTAAATTTTATTTTGTTAATAAATAAATAAATAACTAAATTAATAAATAAATAAATACTTTAATAAAAGTGGCTTGACAGAAATTAACATATTTGTGAATCTAATTAGAAATCAACAGATGTAATAACATAGGTTAAATAGCTTATTGTTTGCCATATTTCTCTTATAAATGTCTATTATTGTTTAGAGTCACAGTTGGGCCCTGTAACTGGCATATTTCCCGGAGCACCCCTCTATGATGTTACTAGCCTGGGTCGGTTATGCATGATAATTTGGACTGCCATTAAATAAAGTAAATAATTCAGATATTTGTGTTATATGTACCAGTACAAACTAATAAATTGTGGGTGGTTGACATGTTGAATCACCTAAAATACCCGGATGCCATTTTGGCCGTGTTGTATTTTAATAATGAAAATAATGTTCTCCTCCTACTTTGTGTATACTATATTAAATATTTCAATGTTGAGTAAAGAGCATAATAAAATATCTATTTGAAACCCGTTTTGAATAAAAATTGGACAAATTAATGTATACACTAATGTATACAGAAATTAGCGTGTTTGTAAATTTCATAACAAATTCATAACGTATTCTCAAGTCGAGTAGTGAGCCCTCTATTTTATTGTTGAAGGTTGCAAATATAAACTTGAGATTACGAAAATTTCTCACATAAGAATTAACTTGTCGAATGTATAGATGAACATTGCTATATCAAATCAAAGTGTCAAAAACGAAAAGATTTGTCTGAACGACATTCCAATATAAGCGAATGGTTGGGGTAAATTAAGTATTATAAAATTCGAACCTTAAACAGGTTGCTCAACTACTATTGTATTCATCCTAACAATATTTCTCTTAACGTCTAAATGTGATATTCCTTTCAAGAACAAAAAGTTTTTTTTAGTCGTACACGGATTTCGCTGTTTAAATTCAAACAACATTATGCAGCCGACAAAAAACCAAGTCTCTTGACTAATTTCAAATATGAAATCTATTGAACTCTTACTGTCCGTTTCTCAGTCGATTTATACGCGTAAAATGTAATTTCGCTTCATTCTAAATATAGACACGTAATGCATCGTCCGAGCAGATATAAATAACAGCATGCTACTCGCATGATTCGGTTTAGCATGCTAATTTTGGCCGCCATCTTGCCCTAATTTATACCTTATATTTCTCTTTAAAAGATTCCTGGCTTTTAATTATTGGGTTTAATTAACAACGTCCTCGAATCATTAAACTAAACTGAAAGTCAAGAATCTGAACGATCCCATAACTTTGAGTCTGTGTGTCCACAGCCGTTGGTTGTTCATTCCAGACCGGAGTAATTACGTAAATGTGTCTCATAAATTAATCATAATATAACAGACAGTACGCCGTCGCATCGACCTCGGCTGCGCGTCGGTCACTACTCCCGCTGTACTGTCTTCGTGCATACTTTGAGGTATCTTCTTAATAACCTTAATATTATATATCCTGTCCTTCCAAGGATACATCATGGGAATGTCGAAATCCAGACCGGAGTAATTACGTAAATGTGTCGCATAAATTAATCATAATATAACAGACATTACGCCGTCGCATCGACCTCCGCTGCGTGTCGGTCACTACTCCCGCTGTACTGTCTTTGTGCATACTTTGAGGTATCTTCGTAATAACCTTAATCATATATATCTTGTCCTTCCAAGGATACATTATGGGAATGCAGAAATCCAAAAAGTTTAGAACAGAATCAGCGAACGTCTCTTTGTGTGGAGTTCGGTCGAGGACGCTAATGCGCGTAATCATTCCATATTTGGAATTCGCATTTCCTTATATGGTAGGAAAAAATACCCCGTGAAATATCGCAAAATTACGACACGCTGTAACTTATGGCGTTACTGCGACAGATAATTATATAAAATATAGTGACGCCAAAACACAACATGATTCCTGAAATGTTTCAGCGATATCACTTTAGCAGACTGTGGTTGTATAACTGGTAAATAGTGTATAATGAAAAAACAAATCATCGTCGTTAAGGAAATCAGCTTCTTGGTTAATACATTGTTCAAAATAACAATGTT